CCCTCCATAAAGCACAACGTCCCAGGGAATGGGGAAAAACACAAAGCCAGGCTGGAAAAGCTGGGAAAAACCTCTGCTCCTCCCTCCACACACACGCTGTGGCACCGCATCCAGGGAGGGACCAGCAGCTCCTGCTGGGGCCGGGGTGGGAAACAGGAAAACAGTGGAAAACAGTGAGGAAACAGTGGAAAACAGTGGGCAACAGAGGAAAACAGTGGAAAACAGTGAGGAAACTGTGGGGAACAGTGGGGAACAGAGGCACATCCCCTTTCTGCCCGGGAGAGGCTCGAGTGGCATCACCTGCTTTGGAGGAGAAATCCTTCTCCAGCAGCTCCTCAGGGTCCTCGTGCTGCTGTTAAGCAGAGTGGGGAGGATGAGGAGGGAAGGGGGATGCCGTGGGATGCCGTGGGATGCAGGGATCACATCTTCTGCCGCTCCCAGAAGATGCCAAACCACGTGTTGAAGGGGGTTTCTCCCCCCATATCACTGTTCCCCCTGGTTTGCAGAGGTGCTGAGCGCTGGGTTTGTGCACCCAGGAGCAGAACAGCAGCAAAAAAAACACATCCCAGGCCAAGCAGGGAGCAAGGATGGGACAGACCCGGCTCTGAGCACAGGGAGTGCTCAGAGGGACAAGGACAGGGGGACAGAATTAACGCCCCGGCCTGGAACTATTTGAGAGCTTTTAAAGGCTCAGGAGGGGAAGGGCTCCCAGCTCCCAGCTCCCTGCTGGGCTCGGTGCCTGCCCTGCCAGCAGCTCCCAGGGTTTGGTACCCAGCTCACGTTCCAGGCTGGGCATTCCGCAGGCCTGGCTCGGGTCTCCCAGGGCTCACATCTCCCAACACCCTTCCAAGGGGAAAAGGAGCCTCAGGGACACTCGGGGATTTAACTCCAACTTGTCACACACACAGGTTGAGACAGGAGTGGCCAGAGGACCCTGTGCTGCTTCACGATCTGGGACGCTTTAATTTGTTTATTTACATTTTTTTTTCCCCTTGGTTTGTCCGTGAAAGAGGAAGGAGTTGTGGGTTGAGCACGGCTGGACCAGGAGAGCTGGGATGTTCCTACAAACAGGGCTGGATTAAACCCTGTGTTTCCCCAGCTCACACCAGGAAGTTCAAATCCACCCCCCCCCCGGCAGCCAGGCTGAGTCCTTGCAAAGTCGTGACACCTCACAACTGACCCCAGAGCACCCACAAACCCTGCAAGGGAAAGATCCTCCCTCTCAGTCCCAATGCCAGGGAGCTGCTGAGCCCAGACCACTGGAAAACACAGTGGGAGCAGGAGTGGCCTGTGAACACCCAACCCCTCGTGTGGGACCTGGAGATGTGGGAGATTCTGAACCCCTCCAAATCCTCTGCAGCGCAGTGGGGGCTTCACCCCCATCCTCTGCAGGCCCAGGGGGCATCTCTGCATCCTGTGTTCCTCACTATCCCCCAGGATTGAGCCCAGGGTGGATTTTAAGGCATTGTAAGGAGAAAGGGATGTCGTTCCACAGTGACCCTCGCTGGGAGGGCCCCACAAACACAGTCCAGGACTAAACCCAGAGCACCTTCCCAATATCCTGCAAAGCAGAGCAGGACAAGGCTGGCCCTGGAGCCACCCCAGGCACTGCTCCAGGATCAGGGACACGAGTGGCCAGGACCTGTGCAGAGGTTACAGCTCATCAACGCTCTCAGTAATTAAGGTGATGAGCTGATCCCTCAGCTGGGGCTGGGCCAGCACTGAGGCCACAACAAAGCACCCTGACCCCACACCCAGGGCTGGGGGACCCCGGGCAGGGGGGTGGCACACGGGGCTGGGTGCACCCCCCACCCTCCCCAGCACCATCCACGGCCTCCCTGGCTGAGTGAAGCTCGTCAGCACGGTAATTACCGTGAGCAGAGCACACTGTCCTGCCCCCTGCACTGCCCCAACGGGCCCCAGGACCTTCCAGCATCCAAGGTCCTGCATGCAGGAGGAAGAGGAGCAGGAGGAAGCAGCAATTCCCCCAGCCAGTGTAGGGTCTGCAGGGTGGGGAGCAGCCAGTTCTCCCCAGAGAACAGCACACCCTTGGATCCTCAGGTGTCTGAAAAGAGGTTGATCTCACCCCCACCACAGGCACAGCTCCTGCCTGGGTGTCCCTTGTCCTCTCCCAAGGTGTTCTGTATCCAGCCTCAAGGGGACGAGGCAGGGAATGGTTTGGCAGGACCAGGGACGGGCAGGGAAAGCTCGAGAGCTTCACAGCCCAAACCAAACCTGTCCTGGGAAAACCCGCTGCCAGCACGGAGGTCCCACCAGGACAGGCAGCTCCCACCCTGCAGCCTCCTCTGGAGGCACACAAAGGGTTACAGGGACCAATCCCAGCGGGATCCATCCCAGCTTCCCCAAGCCCAGGGCCAGGAGGGATCACAGGAGATCAAAGGGAAGCGCTGAGTCCCGGGAGAGTCGTTAGAGTTTGAAACGCTCCAGCAACGCCAGGTCCCCGAGCCGAGGCTGCAATCCTGTCCCTCTGTCCTCCTGTGCTCCCCGGGGTGGGGACAGGGAGATGCTCATCCCAGGGAGCTCCCAGGCTCGGTGCCAGCGGAGCTGGAGTCGCTCATCCGGTCTCTGCAGTGCAAACACTGAACAAACTCTGCTCCCTGGCAGGGCCTGGGATCTGCCAGTGGGGCTGTGGCACCAACCGCAGCAGGGTGGGCAGATCCAACCCCCATGCCATTATCCAGGCAGTGGCTGGGATGTGCCAGAGCTGTGCCAGGTCCTTGCTCCCTACCCCCGGGGAGAAGCCGAGTCCTCATCCGACGACAACGGACGATTTGAAAGCTTCAGGAAGAGAAGGGCAGAGGAGAGGCCTCGCTCCCATCCTGGTGGGAGAAAGCAGCCTCCTCCATCCCTCAGGCTCCCAATCCCATCCTGGCACTGAACCAGCCCGTGACCTCTGCTGCCTCAATTCCCTCAGCAAACACCGACAACCGCCTGGGCCACGTCCAGCAACTACAGCTGCCCAAAGGGGGAAGGGGAAAAGCTCACCTGGGGAGGAACAAGCACCCACCCAGGGCGCTGGAGATCCCAGCACAGCCACACTCACCTCTCCCCACCGTGGGCACCCAGCCACGGGGGGAGCTGCTGGAGGAGTGTGGGATTCCCAGGAGCAACAGCAAAGGCAATACTGGGCTGAACAAAGCGCCCTTGGATCCAGTGGATTTGCCAGAGGTACCAGCTGAGTGTATCCTGTCCCCTCCACGGCAGCTTCCTCGGGAACACCAAAGCTGTATCTCTATTCCAGAGGGGAAGTGCTGCTGCTGGGAACACCCCTCAGCCAGAAATAGGGGGTGAAGAAATAACCCTCAAACCAGACCCTCAGGAGGAGGGGGACGAGCTCTGAGTGCAGAGCCAGGCCCTGAGACTTCTTCCCCTCTCTTTAAGAGGAGGAGGAGGAGGCAGCTTTCCTCCCCACCACGCTCTCCTGGGCTGTGGAGGGTGTGTGGAAAAAGCATCTTCTGGCTGCAGGAGGGTCCTTCCTGTAGAGCATCACCCCAAAACCAGCGCCCTCCTTCCCCAAAAATGCTCCAACACACGGCTCAGGGCAGGGCTGGGTGCAGGCAGGGTGCAGGCAGGGCTGGGTGCAGGCAGGGCTGGGTGGCTCCCACGGAGGGTCTCCCAGCCGGAGCGTGTCGGTGGGGAGAAGCAGTTTTGGAAGAGCCACGAGGAAGCACAGAGCCTCTTCCTTCAGCCACATGGAACCCTCTCCTGTTCTCCGGGAAAACCAAGCGCTGCCTGCGCAGGCAGGGCTGGATCTGCCCCCATCACCCCTGGGGATGGGAAGGCAGGGGGGGCAAAACCCTTGCAGTTCGTCCTGCCCCCGAAGCAGCAGGAGAGGGTTTCCTCCCTCTCCCCTCTCTCAGGGCAGGGCGCGTTTTTAAGGCGCGTTTCCCAACGACCTTCAAACGGCAGCTGCCCGCAGCCCCTTCCCCACGGCCCCCCACCCTGCCCGCAGCCCCTCCCACGGCCCCCACCCTGCCCGGCCCCGCCCGGGGGTCGCACGGGAGGGGCACCCCGGGTGCTGCCATGGGGGCTGGGGGCTGTGCGGGCAGGGAGGGGCTGGCAGGGGCAGGGTGGGGGGCAGCAGAGCCCCTCGGGAGCTGGGTGTCCCCCCCAGCAGGGTGTGGGTCCTGGAGCCCCCCAAAGCCGGGGGCAGCTCCTGGACCCCCATGTCCGGGACCCCCTGCACGGCGGGTGCGGGTCCCAGGGCGGGTGCCGCGCCCCCTTTCCCACCCGCATGTGCCGCTGCCAGACCCCGCACGGTGCCGGTCCCCCCCACGCCCCCAGCCCGGTGCCCCCCGCCCGCTGCCGATGAACGCTCGGTACCGATGCCGGTGCCAGGTCCCCGGTGCCCCTGCCCGGTGAGAGACCGTGCACGATGCCGGTCCCACCCCACACCCCCCTTTTCCTGCCGGTACCGATCCACACGCTGAGCCCCCGCCCGGGGCCGGGGCCGCTCCCCTCCCGGTTTCGCTGCCGATGCCGATTCCCGCTGACCCCCGTGCGGTGCCGGTCGCGCCCCCTCCCTCGCTGGGTGCCGATCCCACCTCACCCCCCTCCCCGTGCCGATGCCAATCGTCCCTCGCCCTCCGCCCGGTGCCGCTGCCGATTCCCTCGGCCGGTGCCGGTGCCCCCTCGACCCGCTCTCGGTGCCGGTGCCAATCCCACCTCATCCCTCTCCCGGAGCCAGTGCCGATCCCCTCTGACCCTCTCCCGCTGCCGATCCCGCTCCCACCTCACGCCCCTCCTGCTGCGATCCCCGCCGCCCCCTTCCCGGCGCCGGTGCCCCCTCGCCCCCGCCCGGTGCCCCCCGCCCGATCGGTGTCGGTGTCGATCCCACCTCACCCTCCCGTCCCTCCGTCTCCCGGTGTCGATGCCGATCCCCCTCTGACCCCCTCCCGGTGCCGATCCTCCCTGACCTCCTCGGTGCTGATCCCGCTCCGGTGCCCCCGGCTCGCTCCTCGCCAGTCCCCCGCACTCACCAGCGCGGTGCGGGCGCTGAGCAGCAGCAGCAGCAGCAGGAGCGGCACCGGGAGGCTCCGCAGCCCCGGGGCGCCGGCGGCGGCACCTCCCGGGCATCTTCCTGCCGCAAGGACGGTGGCGGCGGCGGCGGGAGGCGGCGGGAGGCGGCGGCGGGGGCGGGAAGGGCGCTTGCTGCCGCCGCCCGCGGGAGGCGGGGCGGTGGGTGCGGGCGGTGGGTGCGGGTCCGTCTCCGCCGCCGCCGCCGCCGCGCCGCCCCGGCCCGGGGAGGGGAGGAGGGGAGGACTGGGGGCCACCCCGTGTCACCTCCCGCCCGGTGTCACCGCCCCGGCACGGCCGTGGCGCGGGGGAGCATCCTGGGGGGCGGGGGAGGAGCGTGGGGTGTGCGGGAGTCCGGGGAGGTTGGGGGTCTGAGGGACAAATGGGGGAATGGGGCAGATTGGGGGACCCTGGGGAAACGGAGGAGGAGGCGGGGGGGCTTCCGGGAGGTGTGGGGTAGATGGGTGGGAGGGGAGTCTGGGGGGATTTGTGGAGGGTGTGAAGCAGATTGGGGGATCTGGGGTTCATGGGGGAGAGCACAGGGGACATATGGAGGGGACTGGGACAGACTGGGAGGACCCTTGAGTAGATGGAGGGCTGGTCCAAGTGGTATATGGAGGGGTGTGGGGCAGATTGAGGGGGGACCTGAGACAGATGGGGGGGTCTGGGGCAGATTGGGGGGACCCTGGGGTATGTATGGGGCAGGATCTGGGGCAGATGAAGGGGGCAGGGGTAGCTAGGATACAGGGGGGGAAGTAAAGGAGGTCACTGGGGCAAACTGGGAGGGATCCAGGGCTAGACAGGAGGGTCTAGGGGGCAGCTGGAGGTACCCAGGGGTAGATGGGAGGAGGGTGAGGGGCAGGTGAGGGGGACTGGGACAGATGGGGTGACACCTGGGGCAGATTAAGGGGACACAGGGATAGATGGGGTGGAGCTGAGGAAACAGGTCACCCCCCTGGGTGGGTTTTGGGGCTGGAGCCACCCCAGGGGTACAACCCAGCAGTGGGAAAACCTCCAGGCATTCTGGAACTCGTGCCAACAGCTCACCCAGCCCCAGCACCGTGCCTCAGTTTCCCCCTTCGAAAAACTTGGGATAACGGTGGGATGAGGGGACAGGGCTGTGTCCTGTTGTGACAGTGACCTCCAAGCAGCTCCTGGGTGACCCTGGGGTGACTTTGGGGGTCTGGTCACCCCGAGGGACCCTGGCAGTGGTGGCTGTGGGAGGGCAGGGCACAGATGGATGGGATGGGAACGAGCCATTTCTCACACACGTGGAATTCCTTCTTTCCCTGTGAAAGGCCTAAAAATAGAGTCTCATAAACCCCCTCGTCTGCCTCCAAAATACACCCTGGGAGGGAGCCAAGGGGGGACAGGGGGAGTTACTGGGTTGAAGGAGGGAAAATCAGCCAAATCCAGTCAAAAATGGAGCTGGACCCCAGACCAGGGGGAGGGGGGACACGGCTCTCCCACCCACCCCCCTACCTGAGCATCCTCCCACTGCCCCTCAGTTAGAAACTCAGAGAAACCCTCTCCACAGGGGTGGGAAGCATCAAGGAGGGGTCTGGGGGCCCCCCCACCTGAGTCACTTGACTCGGTTTTAATTGCTCTGTAATTAGCAGGATCCAAATTAAATTTTTTTTTTAAGTGCATAAATAACACCAGCGAGAAGTGAGGGGCGGGGGAGAGGGGACAAAGCCCGGGGAAAGGAAGGGAGGCGTCCCCGGGGTAGGGAGTGTCCCTGGGACACCGGGAGGGGGACCAGAGAAGGGGGGGGGCATCCCTGGGGCTGGGAGGGTCCTGGAGCACTGGGAGTCACTGGGGCAGTGGGGTGTCCCAGGGCAGGGGAGGGGGGGTAGAGGGGTCCCAGGGCAATGGGGTTGCAGGTCGGAGGGGCTTGTCCCAAGGCAGGGGGTCCCCCGGTGCAGGGGGGTCCCCGAGCGGGGCCGGCAGGGCCGGGCCGGGCGCGTTGCTGGGGCTGCACCGCCCCGCCGTGGCCGCGGCCACCCCTGCAGGGACCGGGACGGGGGGGCCCGGGGGGCCCACGGGGGATTTTCACGCCGAGAGTGGTTTTGAGGGGACCCACGGGAGGGACTTGGGGAGGGCGCGGGGACGGAGGCGATGCCACGGGGTCCTTGTCCCCACCGGGTCCTTGTCCCCACCGCGTCCTTGTCCCCACCGCATCCTTGTCCCCGCCGAGCCCGCGGGGGCAGCGGGATCTGGGAGTGTTCCCTCGGTCTGAGGGAGTGGCGGGGGATCCCAGCTGGGGGTGGGTCCTGGTTTATCTGGTGGATCCCGGGTGATGGGATGGATCCGGGCTGTGTGGGTGGATCCTGGTTTATGTGATGTGTCCTGGGGAATGTGGTGGATCCTGGGACTTCGAATGGATCCTGGCTCGTAGGACGGCCCCTGGCTGATGTGATGTGTCCTGGCTGAGGTGACAGACCCCTGCACTGAGTGACCCAGCCGTGTCCTTCCCGGGCCATGTCCCCTCTGTCACCCTGCCAGGGTCACCCCCAGGCTCACCCCCAGCCGTGCCCATGCTCTGGCACTGCCGCCACACCCTCCCTCCCAGGCCAGGCACGGAGCAGGAGTCCAAAGCTCTGGATGAGAGCTGATCCCATTCCAACACCTCTGCAGGAGGGAAAGGTGCCCAGGGCTGACCCCAAAACCCCGGGGGTCTGGGGGGAAGGAACACGGGCCCTGGGCAGACTCACCTCGCTCTCCAGCCTCACACCCCAGGTAAACACTCAGTGCTAAATTAAACTTTAAAAAAATAGATTTATAACCCTTGGTTTCAGCATGTCCTTCCCCAAACCCCCAGCCAGGCTGCTGCTGGCTGAGCTCCACAACCAGCACCAGATAAATGAGGTGGTGAGGAGCTCAAAGACCCTCAGGGAGCTCCAAGACCCCCAAAAAACAGGTGCCCATGACCTTTGTGGACCGGGGGTCGATGCTGGATCACAGCTTGGCTTCAAACCTTGGGCAGAGATGGTGTCAAAGCCCAAGTCAGCTCTTGCTGAACTTAAGCTCAGGGGTGAGAACAGAACCCCAGTGTGGGTTAGTGTGTCACCCTGTTTGTACAAGCGCTCAGACTCACTGGGATTCCCCAGACAGCCCCTCTGGAAAAGGGTTTTTAAGTCCAGCAGCTGCCCAAGTGCAGCACAGGGACAGGGATGGTCCTGGATGGGGAAAACTGGTGGGAAAGAAAGGTCAATTTTAGGGGTTCTGTTCACACAGGGGATGAAATGCAGAGCTGGAGCTTCCCCAGGACAGGGAATTAGGGGAATAGAAGATGTCAGGGCATCACCTGGGCAGCAGGGGATGATTCCCTGCCCCTTCCTGCCAGAGCTGCTGGGCTTGGAATGGCCAAGGAACACTCAGTGGATGTTCACTCCCAACTTGCTGCCAGAGGAGGAGGTTGAAGGTGCCACAAGTTTGTGTGGGTCCTACAAATCCCAGCCCCAGGAGGAGGGATGGACACGATGGGAAGCAGTGATGGGTTTGAGGTTGCTCTGCTCTTGATTCTCACAGAATCTCAGAGTGGTTTGGGTTGGAAGGGACATCAAAGCCCATCCAGTTCCACTCCTGCCATGGGCAGGGACACCTTTCACTAGCCCAGGTTGCTCCAACCTGGCCTTGGACACTTCCAGTGCCCAACCAGCCTGTGGGGGAAGAACCTTTCCCTGAGATCCAACCTGAGCCTGCCCTGACACAGCTCCAGCCATTCCCTGGGGGCTGTCCCTGCTCACCCAGGGAGATCAGAGGAATCTGCCAACTCCAAGCAAACCTTTCATTAGAGCCAAAGCCAGATTCCAAAGTTCTGTATTTTTCAAAATAAAGATCACACGTTGTTTAGAGACAATCTACACAAGAGTTACAAAAAATAGTCGCCCAGGCATAAGCATACACAGGTTTGTTAATTATACACATATGGTTACAAGTGTGCTTGCAAAAAAGTTCATTGGAAATATACACAAGGCTCTGTAAATGTACACCGTGTAGTGTTACAATTCTATATTCAAACAAGGAAAATTGACAGTATGTTACATTCACTTACAAGTAGACAAAATGCAAAATACAGTTCATCTTCTGTACAAAAAGGGAAGGTGATTCACACTTTACAAGGTGAAAAGGGACTCTGATTGTAAGGAAAACTCGGGGGGGGGGCTGTACTTTTGCACTTTTTGTTTCTTACTGTCACAAAATAAGCAAAACATTACTTTGTAAGAGTCAAAAAAACACTATTTGGAACTGAATCAGTTTTGTAGAACATTTAGAAAGGATCGCTACCGTTCAACTAGGTGACAAATAAAACCAAGCATTTATTTTTCTTTCTTTTTCTTTTTTAAACATTAACTAGGCTGTATAAAGAGAACATTTCCTTCAAAAGAAAAAATTTACTTCTGGTTGAAATTACAATTTACAATATACAACACTATATGCTACGACCATAAAAGGTGTGAATATACACTGAAATGCACAGGTTTTGCTAATTCTTTTTTTTTTTGTTTTCTTACCAAAAAACGGGTTTTTATGTCGATTCAAACTTCTCCACATTTACATTACAGAGGTTTACAAATGTACAATTGTACAGTCAGAAGTATGTTCCACTACTAGGGTACATTATAGATACAGATCAGACATCAAAACAAGAAAATACTACAAATTTTTATATATGTAAAGTCTACACCAAGTATACACTATATATTTATAGAAGCAAGACCAAAGCCGAGTTGGATTTTTGTTTCTTTTTTTTTATGTTTTTTTTTTGTTTTTTTTTCCTCATGCTAAATAATCAAATTTGTGTCTCTCCAGGTGAACAGACCAGAGGAGGCAGTAAACAGGTGTACCCCCACCCCCCACTTTAAAAACCCACTCTGGGTGTTTTTCTCCCCCAAAACGCCAGCTAAGCTCCCTCCTTCAGCATGTTATACTCACCAATAAAATAAAATTAAAAAAAAAAAAAAAATCAGAAAGAAAGCAATTAAAAAGTTTTAAAAACTGGATTTTCTTTCTTGGTTTTGGTTGTTTGGTTTTTTTTTTTAAACCCAAGCTTTAAGTTGAATTTTTTTTTTTGTCTTTTTTAGTATTTATAAACAGCGTTAAATGAGTCGGGTCATTTAACTGAAATTCAAACTTCTGGCTGATTTTTTTGACTAAAAGGAGAAAAAAATAAAACCAAAGAAGTGTTTGCAAAATGTTGCCCGTCAGGCAAATGAATTAAAAAGTTGTGGGTTTTTTTTTTTTGTTTTTTTTTCCCCTGTTTGTTTTCTTCAAACCAACCACCCTGAAAGTTTCCACATTTGGAATATAGATACAACAGTGAACAAAAAAAATGTGGCCTTCCATGTACATCTGAGACCTATGTACAAGTATTCTATACACCAGTAAAACAGCAGGGCAATTAGTTAATTAAAAAAAATAATTAGTACATGTTATGCATAATAAAATTAAAGAAATTTACAAAGGCTTTGCTTTTTTTTTTTTTTCTTTTTCTTTGTTTTGTTTTGTTTGTTTGTTTGTTTTTAGCAACCGTAGAGGTGGATTTTTAGTGTGAATTGGGGTGTTGGTGGTTGCTGGTTGTGGGGGCCGGGGGTGGCTCTGGTGGGGCCACCTCAGATGATGCCGTTGGGGGGGCCACAGATGGGCCCCAGGTCCACCCCGTTCTTCATGTAGTACTTCTCCAGCTTGGCCAGGATGTGTTTGCCGTAGGTGTATTTGCGCAGGGTCGCGATGTGAGGCCGGATCTGCGAGGGGAAAGCACAAAAAGTGGGATTTAGGAACCTGTGTCATGGTCAGGTCCGTCCCCAGCGAGCTCCGGGTCCTGCCAGAGTGGCAAAAACACCTGAGGTATCACAGAATATCCAGAACCCACAAGGATTATCCATCCCACTCCTGGCCCTGCACAGACACCCCAACAATCCCCCTGTGCCCCAGAGGATCAGCCAAAGCCTCCTGCAGCTCTGGCAGCCTTGGGGCTGTGCCCACTGCCCTCACAGGTGGGATTTTTCACCTGGGCAAGCAGGTGGCACCATGGGTTTAAATTTAGTGGTTTCACACTGAAGGAGGGTTAGATGGGGTACTGGGGAGAAATTGTTCCCTGTGAGGGTGGGCAGCCCCTGGCACAGGTTGCCCAGAGAAGCTGTGGCTGCCCCTGAATCCCTGGAAGTGTCCAAGGCCAGGTTGGAGCAACCTGGGCTGGTGGAAGGTGTCCCTGCTGTGGGACTGGATGCGCTTTGAGGTCCCTTCCAACCCAAACCATTCCAGGATTTCATTACTCTGACTTTCTGCTCTCCAAGCGGGAGCTGCAGCCAGGATGAGGGAATAGCCAGGCCTCATGGACAGCATTCCCTGCTCCATAGGTGGACACATCCCCACCACTGACCATCAACCTCCCATGGGAAACCCATCCCAACCTTATCCTCTGTCAGCAGCTCAGCCTCCAGCCCTGTAAACTCCTGTTTCACCTCCAGGACCCACCTCCCAACAACCACCAACCCCTGCCTTGGCTCCCCACACCCCATTCCCAAGGTCTGATGGCTGTGCTGAGGAAAAGGAGCAGTGAAGCTCCCCAGGTCCCACAATTCCTTCTTTGTTGCCCTTCATTCCCAACACTTCCTTTTTCTTTACTGACAGAACTGTTAAAATGACTCTTCAATTCTGTTTTTTCAAACAAATCACCCTCTTTAACCCCGCACAAAGTGCTGTTTGTACAACAGCCACATTCCCAATCCAGAGCAATTTCCACAGTGCCTAAGCTCCACTTTCCCAGACTTTCCTTCAGCCTGATATCACAGCTCAAATCTTCCTATTCACTCAGCCCTATTTAGCTGTCAACCCAGTGCTATTTTTGACAGCCCCACTGATAATCTAATTTGCATTTGATTCCAAAGACTTTGCTTGACAGGAAGAAGAAAGTAACATCAGTGATGATAATTTGTGTATTTTTCTAACATACAGCTCTCTGTTATAGATTAGCAGAGCTACAGGCCCTTCTGCTGCAGTTAAATTGGGTGTATCCCCTGCCAGACATCTCCATTTAATTATCTTCAGCATTTCTTCTGGACTAAAACAGATTCTGGTTTAAAAGAACTACTTTGAGTGATTCCTAAATGTAAGAATTAACCTTCCTGAAGATTATTTCAGCTGTTTATGATGATTAATCTACCGAACAACTGCAGCTCACTCACACTAATTCCCACTATTTATAGAAAACCCACTTGGTCTGTTTTACTCAAGGATTCTTAAATATAGTAAGAAAAAAATCTTCATTAGGATTTCAATACCTGACACTGTTCACACTTCCTCTTAAAAATAAATCAATGAACAGGGGGTTTTCCAAGTCAGTGTCAGGTAGGATTTCATTTCTGTTAAGAGCTCCAGATGGAATTGGGGTTTTTCAGCAAGGAACACACCCCAAAAACATCTCCCTGAAGAAAATAACCTCAGTTCTACCACCCAATTCAATCCTAATATTTTCCATTCCTTCAATTACAAAGCCCTGCAAATGTGACCTTTCATGGCAGGGAAAAATGAAGACATTCCCTGATTTCAGAGCTCCCTGCCCTTGGGACAGCAGGCAAACAGCCCTTGGGGTTGGACTGGCAGAAAGGGAGATTTCCTTCCAAAATGGCTTCATTTTCGACAAATATGAAGTTCCAGGACGGTTCTGCACTCAAACATTGCAGTATAATGCTAAACCATAGTAGTTTTGGACATCAGCAGGAATTTCCTCATGGAAAGGCTGTTCAGGGGCTGCCCAGGGGGTTGTGGAGTCCCTGGAGGTGTCCCAGGAAGGACTGGACGTGGCACTCAGTGCTCTGGGCTGGGGGACAAGGTGGGCACTGGGCACAGAGTGGACTCCATGGGCTGGGAGGGCTTTTCTAACCTCAAGGACTCTGGGATTCTGTGAAGTCTCCCATCAAAACTCACTCCAAAGCGCCCAGCAGAGGATTTGGTTGGTGGGGTGCGCTCGGAGGGGGCAGCGGTGCGGGGTCACCCCACAGCCCTCCTGAAGGGACACCGGGACAGGCAGGGCTGGGAGCCCACAGGGCCAGGGCTGGGCAGGTCTGGCTCAGCCACACAGAGCGCTACAACTGCTCTCATCAGCCACTCAGAGAGGGCAAGGGTGTCATCACTGCCAGAGCCCAGGGACCTGCCAGGGCCCAGCGCCCGGACACCAGTCCTGGAGGGCTGAGCAGGGTGTGCTGAGAGGGCAGGGCTGGGGCAGGGGGGCACAGGGACTGTGGCTGTCCCTGGATCCCTGGAAGTGTCCAAGGCCAGGTTGGACAGGGCTTGGAGCAACCTGGGCTAGTGGAAGGTGTCCCTGCCCATGGCAGGGGGTTGGGAACGAGATGAGCTTTCCAACCTGTTCTATAACCTTCACATTCCAGCTGCTGCTGAAAAACCCAACCCAACCACCTCTGGCATTTAGGAAGCTCATTCCAAACCAATCCTCAGTCTCATTCTCTCTCCTCATCCACAGCGACGAGCTCTGCCTCCTTACCCACCCACAGCAGCCGCTCACCTTGTGCATGACAATCTTCCTTTGGGCTGGCTCTGCCACGTCGATCATCTTCTGCACCACGTAGTTGGCATATTGATCCTTCATCATGGTGTATAAGGCACTGTGGGGGCCGTCGTTCATGGTGCACACCTCGTCGATCAGCATGGCCCGCTCCGTGCGCGACGCGTGCGTCACGCACTTCTCCACCACGTTACTGCAACGACACGGCAGGGACAGCCCGTGAGCCACGAACCCCTCTGGCCTTCCCAGCCAAGCCCCAGGAGGTCTCTCGTGCTGACAGAGTAGGTGCCACCTCCTGTGCTCTCCCTCATTTTGGGGCGCAGGGAGGTGGTGGTGGAGTTCAGAGAGAGCAGAGCTTGGGATCTGCTTGAGAGGGAATCTGGGAAATGGACCAGTTCAGGTTTTATTGCACCCGAATTTGTGCAAATTCTACAGTGATCAGTGTCTGCTCTCAAAGTGTGTCCATCAGAGAATCACAGAATCACAGGATATTCTGAGTTGGGAAGGACCCACAAGTGGAATGGCTCATAGTCCATTCCTCTCCACCACAACAACACAACGAGGAGAATCCAGGGCTTTCCAGCCAACCCCAGGGAAATCTCTCAAGCTGCCAGCAAGGGCAGGTCATTTGGGACAGAGGGAGGTGCTGGTAGAGTTCAGTGAGGTGAAACACGAGAGCTGAACTTGGGATCTGTGAGGGAATTTGGGAAATGGACCAGCTCAGGTTTCCTTTCACCCAAATCTGTGCAGTTTTACAGCAATGTTGTATGAGATCAGTGCCTGTTCTCATCAGAGAATCACAGAATATTCTGAAGGATACTGGAAGGGACCCACAAGGATCAGAGTCCAACTCTGATGAAGTAAATGGTTCACACAGGGATCAAACTCACACCTCGGTGTTTTTAGCACCAGGCTCCAGAAGGAGTTCTTTTGTTTGGTTTTCTCTGTACTGGAACACAATGGGAATGGAGATCCAAGGTTAGAACAACAGGGAAATGCTTATTCAGGAATGAAAAATCTCAGCAAAGGCAGAGAATTTCCAGAATTCCTGAATATATTAATGACTCTTCTCCGCTCTCCGGAGAGCCAAGTTAAGTAGGATACATGAAAGGGGACCAAGACATGTGCTGGTCTCATCTTCCACATCCCTGCCTGACTCACAGAACCATCAGTGGTTTGCTCAGCTCAGGGGACATCCCACACTAATTACTGCTCCATCTGAAAAGGAGTTTAGGAAAAAAGAGCAAGGCAAGTCAGGGAGGGAAGAACCTGAAATAACAACATGAAGACCACGCTCTCCTAAATCTCATTAATGTTACACCTCCCTTGTGTCCCCAAGTGCTGAAGCACTATTTTACTCATCACAGAAAGGGGGAATATTGAGCCTTTGAAGAGCTCAGCCTTCCTGTTCAGTGGCTGGAAGCACATGCAGCAGGAATTTACACAGGTGGGAAGTGTTGCTTTGTCCTCACAGCCACAAAGGCACCTGGGTTTTGCTTTACCCACATGCAGCTCTGCAGCATTTGGAGTCAAAGCTGGGAATGCTGAGAGGGAATCCCTGTGCACATCTCCAAAGGGACTGCAAGGCTCAGCACATCAAAATGCTGGGAAATGGTGCTGTGAACATAAATTCTTCTGTGAAAAGGGTTTCTCAAATGCCTTTCACAGCATCCCTGGGGGGAGTGAAACGCTCTGAGGGCATGTTATTATCAAGGGACAGTGACCACTTAAAACCCACCAAAATAAATCAGATAAAACACACAGGAACTCTTGGCCAAGTTCAGGAGCTTGGATCAGAGCTCCTCTTCCACATTCACATCCTCCTCCATTACCCTAAGACTTACCTTGCCGATGCACCCCACGTTATAACAGCTATAAATAACATTTTTTTCTATTGAGCAAAAAGTTATTTTCACCTATTTCACCTCCCTACAACCCACCCCTAACTCTTGTGTGTCCATGCTCCCAGAGGGCTGGGGGCTTTAAGGAAGGAATTCATACCTAGCAAATTTATGTTGACTCAACACGAGCACGTTGCCTCTAATTTCTGCTACAATCTTGCTCTTATCCTCGGGCCGACCATGTTCTAGTACATGCTGGATAACATAGTTCCCATACTGATCCTGTTTGAGAGACAGCAGAAGTGTGTGACAAAAGGTGGACAGGAACCATTCACAGCAAACCAGTTCCCCAGATGCAATCAGAGTTACAAACTTCAGCTAAAAACTGATTAAAGTATCTACCATACAAATCGTCTCAGTACTTGCTACTCCCACAAAATCCATTCTAGAGTGGAAAAATGCTACATTCCTGTAGCAATGATATCCACTGTAAAAATCAAAACAATGTTCTTCCACAGGAAATGTCAGTATTCTGCTTATTCCCAGTTTATTCCTTTTCTCCAGGTTTAAATCTATCCAATCCCATGTCCTGGAGGGCTGTGCCACGGGACATTGTCCTGAAGCATATTCATGTTCTGAATTTGGGGATACTCAGAGCCCAGGATATAAATACTGCAGTCCACAATCCCAGAAATGGCCTGATGCCTCAAATCCATGTCCAACCTCTTCCCACTTCCCAAATCCTGAGCCACACGGGACAGGCTTTGTTTGCTGGATTAGCTCAATCCACTGTGCCCCAAAAGCAGGATCCATGTAAAATCCTGCTAAACCAGGTTCTCAGAAGGACTGCAAGGAAGAGGAAAGGCAGCCAGGAAGGGGGTGTGCATAAAACCAACTCATTTTAAGAACAATTACTTGGCACTTCCTTTTCCTGGGAATAATCAGCTCTTGGCACAGGCTCCCTTCAGCTCCCACTTGCACTGTGACTTCTGCAAGGAAGCACCAGGACATGCTTCCACTTGGGATCCATCCCAAAGAGGAATGTCACTACACCTCTGCTACCCCATGGACATGTGCACGTGACCAAAGCAGCCAGTGCTGATCAATTCCTGCTCCTTCCCATTCCTCCTGGGAAGGGAATCCCTGTGTTCCCACAGCGCCAGCAGCGCTACGGCCCCGCACAGGCTGCAGGAGCTTTCCCAGCACGAAGCAGAGACCCAGAAACATCTCCCAGCAGCTGCATCCCCCCTTCCCACACCCACCTGGACCAGCTGCTCGGTGTGTTGGTGAAGCTCCTCCAAGATGGGCAGGGTCTGCTCGGGAAGACAGTGCTCCAGGATCCTCTGGATCACGCGGCAGCCGTAGGGGTGCGTGGACAACGCGAACACCTGGGCCCAGCAGAGACAAAGCACAGGCACCAACACCTCCATTAGCCCTTGGCAAGCCTAGGAACCTTCCACACCTAAATGCACACGTGGTGGTTTCTCCTGGCCAGCTCCAGAGAGCATCCAATGCAACTGGAAACATCTGTTCCCTGCTGGCAGGTGATCACAGCCCATCCCTACCTGCGCTTCAGCATCCCCATCCACGGGACGGGAAAACCAATGGTAAAGCCTCTCGACTAACAAAAGAACCCTGGGACAACCAGGCTCTTATTAGGAACTGCTTCAGGGGAACAATTCCAACATGTAATTTGAGCTATGTAAGAAATGGTATCAGCCAGGAAAGTTAAAAATGTCCAGCAAAGGATTTTCCTCAACCGTTTGGATTTGTTTAAAAGCCTTAACAGCGCTTAGGAGAAGTGACAACAAAGAACCCATCTCCTTTCTAAAGGATTAGCAAATCTGTGGGTAAGAACATGACACGTTGTGTTACTGCTGCTCAGTTTTGTGTCTCAAGCACAAAGTCCTGTTTGGCTGCCCTGAATTAACAACAGCAGTAAATCTGAGCACTGAAGTTAAATCAACAGTTTGAATGTTTTTAATAATGATTGAGTAAACTGTGCAGGGAAACAGGGCTTGGAGTGCAATTAAGTGCAGGAAAACAGTCTGGAGGTGATAAGTTTGATCCTCCATGTGATGGTTCAGATGAAACTGGGATGGTTGGTCAAGGAAATGTCAGTGCCATCAACTTTCTGCCTTCCCAAACCCCCTAAGGAAGGGCCAAAGCTAAACTCTAACCAGCAAATCTGCTGAGCAAATTCCCAGCTAGAATCATGCTTGTTTTGACACAGCCAAGCAAGTCCCCCACTTTCCCAGCTGACCCAGGACTAAGAACTCCTGGTTCCTGCTGGGAGAGCCCCTGGCTGTCCTCACATCCCTGGGGCAAATCCCTCAACACTTCAAAGTCCCCCTGCAAAGCCAATTAAGCTGAGGTTGGGAACACCCAAAGCAGCACCCCTGTAATGGGAGATGAGCTGACTGCAGGCAGAGCGAAGCCAGCTACACAACTGGGATCGATCCAGGACAGCACAGCAATAAAAATCCCATCAGAATCGGGCACAATTGCCCTTTTCTAGATTAAACTCCAATTATTCCTCTGGTCTAAGGCCCTTGGGAATCAGCATTCCTCCTAATCCCCCCCTCACAGACAGGGATCACAACGAAAGTTTGCTCCAGCCAGCACAGCACTCTGCTCACTGCCAAGATGGATTAGGGAGAGACTCGTTTTCCCTCCATCAGTCAAAACCACTTGATGTTCCAGAAGAACAGCCTTTTGCAGGGATGCTTTGCTGTGACAGATCTGCACAGAAATGATAACACAGACGTGACCAAGGA